GTGCAATCATTTCGATCCACGATTCACATTTTGTTTTAATATTTTGTGCGATTGCATATTTCCTGATATTTCGCTATTTAACGACTCACAGCTAATATGATATAAATTTTGAACGCTGATAAAAACTGAATTCTCGTTGAAAGAATTGTGATACAGAATCATAGTTAAAACATTATCTCTGCCGATTCGAGAATGCCATAGTATTTATCTCCGCTTTTCTATTTTATACAGAGTTGGGAATATTGGATAGAAATCCGAGTATTTATTGAAACAGTTGAATCGAATGCGAACGGTTTTATTCGTCTCTATGTTTGTATTTTTTATGAAGGGTCAGACACACCGACAAAAAATTGAACTGTGAAAGAATTGTTCCATAGCGATAGTTCATTCGAACTCGATGCTGGGACCAGCGCATTGATCGATTAACGAGAACCGAAGCACCAAACGTTTTCGATCCACCGTTAGTAATCCACCCAACGAAGAAAAGAACTGGAAGGAACATGAACCAAAGCGGGAAGTAGCAGGAGAAACAGCTCGTAGACAGCGATAATACGAGAGAGGAATCCACGGGGAAGGTGTGGCCCTACCACGAACACGACGAAAGGTGTCTCTGCTCCACGTAGGATAGGGGAACGTTAGGGTTTTCATTGGATTCTGACGACGCCTGCGGGAGCTTACTGCCGCGGGATTACCAGAGACAGTTGGAAATCCGATCAAAACAAATGGACTGCGAAAATGCTCCCTCTACCTTGCCCTTACCATCCCCACATCTCATTCCTTTCCCTCTGGCGCATCTAGAATCAGTCGTTTGCACCAACACTATTACAGATCGACCTCGATGGCCTCGATCTCGCTGATATTCCCCCACAAGAGGGACGATCGACCGCAATTCGAACGACCGATAAGACCAAACGCTTGATTGTCAAGTAATGAGTACCTCTGATTTCTTATTTGCATTTCAGACAGGTTTTAGAACACGTCGCTGATGGAAGGCTTGTTTCCACTCCTATAGACGAATACTGTCACACCGTATTACCAGTACGTACTATTATGCGATGTACTATTACGCATCTCACTACTATGCATTGTACTACCACGCATCCCACTACTATGCATTGTACAACCACGCATCCCACTACTACGTATTGTACTACCACGCGGTGCACTACCACGCATCCCACTACTACGCATTGTACTACTATGCATCCCACTACTACGCATTGTACTACCACGCATCCCACCACTACGTATTGTACTACCACGCATCCCACTACTACGCATTGTACTACCACGCGTTGTACTACCACGCATCCCATTACTACGCATTGTACTACCACGCGTTGTACTACCACGCATTGTACTACCACGCATCCCACTACTACGCATTGTACTACCACGCATCCCACTACTACGCATTGTACTACTACGCATTCCACTACTACGCATTATACTACCACGCGTTGTACTACTATGCATCCCACTACTACGCATTGTACTACCACGCATCCCACCACTACGTATTGTACTACCACGCATCCCACTACTACGCATTGTACTACCACGCATCCCACTACTACGCATTGTACTACCACGCATCCCACTACCACGCGTTGTACTACTATGCATCCCACTACTACGCATTGTACTACTACATGTCGTACTACCACACATCTCACTATTGTTACGCACTATATTACCACGTGCTGTATTACCACATGCCGCACTACCACTCGCCGATATTACCACGAGTCCCACTACCAAACGCCCAATTACCACACACTCCATTATCACGCATTCTACTATTACTCACCCACTTCCACACGTCGTACTATCACATGTCCCACTATCACATACTGCACCATCACACATTCTACTATCGTGCATTCACTGTCACTCGCCATATTATCACGACGAGTAGATGCTAGGTATTATTACAGTACCGAAGTTATCCTAGTCGGATATCTGCATCTCTGGTCCAAACTCCGAACCTATAGATTTCGCTGAACGTACATATTGGTTGGTGGCGCTCGGAGGGTTAATGAGAGGAAGAGGCGCGTCTCGAGGGTGGTTTTGGACAAAATAGAACGTCGATTGCCACGGGGACGTGGACGACGACGTCATTATCACGTAACAGACGAATTCGAGTTTGAAGCGTTCCCACGTGGAATTTAAGACGAACGTGTCTCATTTCAAAATTGCTCGTTTCGCAGGAAGAAGTGGATGAGCCTGAGGAGTAATCAAGGCCGAATAGCATTCCAAAAGTCGAGATGAAAGTCTCAATTCGGAGCACGGTAGTGGATGAACGTGTGACCCAGAACGTTGTTTTCAATTGAATCAGAGCATAGATTAGCAGGAAGCGAAATGTTTTTGCAGGATATTGGCGGGTAAAATCGTCAGAATTTTTATCCATCCATCGTGGCGACAGAAACGAAACGAACGGCGGAAAATATTCGAATCGGAGTGAAAAATACACGACGTAGCGTGGCATTAACGCAACAACCGGGCAACGAACAATATCGAAGCCATAAATCTTCTTAGCTGTTGGCAAAATTATTTGCAGGGCCGAATGTCGTCGATGTAAATTGCACGTTTTGACTTCCTGCGCGCCGGAAGCCGCGATGGCACCGATATCGGGCTCCGGTGACGTAAAAATCGGTAACTGCTTACCCGATCGCGTTCGATCGTTAACACCTACGATAAATAATCCGTGTGTGCGTGTCGAAACTAAAGTAATACAAGAGAAAAAATATACAAACAAGCGGACAGACAGATAGAATGGACAGGTAAAAAAAAAAATAAAACGGAAAGCAAGCATGCATATTCGTCGAGGACGCTCGAGTCGTTTATCGTTTGGTTCGATGACCGAATTGGTTCCACATAATGGATACAGGATTATAGGGTATTTTTCTGTTTCCGCCAACCAACCCGACCAGATGCAGGATTATTGTTTCATAACGGATTTCTATGGCCTTTGTTTTCCACGCTGATGTGATTCGATGAAAATTGAGGTCACTCTTGAGCCTATCGTGATCTGCCGTAATATCGCGTAACATTGTTACGCCGACCAGCCGTTTTTCGACGATTAAATCGGCCGTAATTTCGGGTCAGGTGTTATCGCGTTCGCGCGTGTACACACGGAACGTGTTAAAATGTCTTCGGCTGTTAATTAATGCGGAAAATTGCGGAACGTGGGCCGCGTTAATCCGTGATGAGCTCGCGAAACGAACAGCGCCAAAATGTTGCATATTGCCGCGTGACATTTATTTCGAGGCGCGAAATATTAAAATTAACTTAGTCTAGAAAAATCGTTCGATGATGCAACTATAACGATCACAAAATTCGACGTGTTCGATCATACGACTACCAAATTCGCAAGCTGCAACATTGTGTCACAATATTTGTGCAGCTTATCTGTCGCCTACATCACGCATGTTTCCAACTTTCTGGACATTTTTTTAACCAAAGTGGGGATATTGCGAACATGGAAACGATGCAATTTTGCGTGAACAAACAAAATGTAGAGCATTCGATTGCACAGTCAGGTGTATTCAATTTATACAACGCAAACTTTATTTATAATTGACATTCGTATCGCTGGAAGCATGCACGGTGTCCGTGATGGGAATTCATTTCGAACGCTTCGACGATTTTTGATCGGCAGGCAAAAGAAGTTACATGATTTCGATAATTTAATATTTCATGTATTTGTGAATAAATTCGATGCTTTGTGATAATTCGTGCTTTGGTTTTTGTTAACATTTCAACAAGAAACTTTGTGGCTTTTTCTACCACCAAGTTATGCAACTAAATTAAGAAACCTTTAAAGAAGCACGTGTATTTCTTATCTTCACTTCGATTATTGTTAATGTTGCGTTCGCCGAAAGCTGCAGAATCATGTTTTCGAAAATTAATCAATTGCTACCATTATTCTCTGGTCAGCAGTAAACTCCATGGCAATCAACGCTATAAATCATTCTCAACAGGGCCAGCATTTTTGAAATTCATAGATGAAATTACCAGTATGTAATTATTCCTGCAACACGCTTTTCATTTCTTATCTCCTCCGACTGACCATAAACCATAAACTACTTTGCACCTGCAGCACCCCGTGCGTCGCACCCTATTGCGCCGACACACGCAGTCACCACCACAATATCATCAATCAGGGCACGGTCGGATCGATAAAGTATCAGGAGCAGGCGTCGGAAAATTCGAGTGTCAGGAGGTGGATCGAAATAAAAGGCACGCGCCGCTCGTTACGGAAATATCGTGGCTTCTACTCGACCAGGTGGTCCCTCTTCCCATAGAGACGTGCGACACATGGGATACCCTACAAAAACACCACCACGTGCCACCGGGTAATAATATCGTCACGATACTCGACTTTAGTCGTTCGATGGGTCACGGAAAGCCTTTCTGTCTTTTGCGATCGAGACACCAACTTTATTCTCATACTGTCCTGATCGAAGCGTCCCTTTTGATCGTTCGAAGGGCTGAAACGTCGCGACGTCGTGTTTCACCCTCGACGTTCGAGATAGGAGGGTGCACGATTTAAGGGGACAGGGTAACACCCTCGAAGTCGAACGCCGGAATCACCTTACCTCTTGTTCGTGAATTTCCTTCGAATTATCGAACACTTCTGCCTTTGGGATTTTGGTATAATAAAAACTTGCAACTTTTTGACGACTTTAGGTCCTTTTATTTCGAAATTCAGAAACTACCTAACATCGAATATGCTTCGTAGAATACCTTTAGAATATTACAATGTGGACTCCTTTGCATGGTTTTCAAATTATAGGGAAATAAAAATGGAGGAATAAGTGAGAGCAATATTGCGCGGAATATCGGTGCAACGATAATTTGAATTTTTATGAAGCAATATTTACGCAACGCGTCTGTACACATTCACGCACAAGAATTTGTTTGCGGAGAACAAATACTGAAAATGATTGAAACTGTGCTCTTTATGAATTTTACATACGACGTGTCTGTTGGTTTAGGTTCTGGGGTTCAAAGACACGTACGTATGGCTCAAGGATCACAGTCACGATCACAAGAAGAGAAGTGGACTCCGTTCAACGAAAGCGTTAAATTCGAGCGTCAAGGTGATCTTCTTTAAGAATTATTTAAAAACTGTTTGAAGGAGCCAGTTTAAAAGTTAAAATCCCCTCTGACACGGTTTTTCTTTCGCGAAGATCATTTGGGCAGATCAACAGAAGGTGATCGAGCGATACAAACGCGATTACGTACCGTTATTTAGCTACGATTCGGAGAAACCTTTGATAAGAGAGAAGAGATTGGAACTAGATCAGTATCGCTTGAATAGCGTGGAAGAAAATGATGGAAACTCGCTACAGTTTGGGTCGGACGATTCTAAATTTATGTTCAACGATGAACTATGGGAACAGGAATGGTATCTGGTAAATAGCAATATTTTCACAATATTTTAGAATAGGTGTTTAAAGACGAAGATGAAATATTGGGCCATTTTTAAAATTTCATAATATTTTTCACATCAATAATTATCTCAGGATATCATGACTGTTCATTAACCAACATGTTTGTGCACTTTATTCGTTCAAAAAGTATACCTTGAAAATTTCACGTCGAACTTTTGGGATGACCTAATATGAAGGAAAATCGATATAAAATAAAATCAATATTCGACAAAGCAGTTGATGGTAAAGCACTCTACGCTCGATTCGGTTACTACGTGATAAGACTTCTTTATCAACGGTTGCAGCAAGACACCAGGTCGAACAAGGATTTACCCAAGCTGGATCTGAACGTGCTACCCCTTTATCGACTGGGGATAACAGGTCGTGGAGTCAGAATCGCTGTTCTAGACGATGGATTGGAATATACCCACGACGACCTACGTAACAATTACGTGAGTCGAATGCTTCGTGTTACCTTCTGCAACTCACAGATGACGAAAGACTTCAATCTCTTTGGATATTTCGTAATTAATCCATTCAGCTACATATGATTACTTTATAATTAGTCGATCGAAATATCGACTTGGTAAACTAAAGTAACTTGGTAAACTAACGATCATGAAAATCTATGCTTTTCATCTCTTGCATCAAATTTCCGATAATCAATGTCTGTGGATGTAGTTTATATTTTGTACAAAGCCCGACTGAAGCTCAATTAACCAGCCTACAAACTGGAATCGAGTAATTTGATTGTTAATGGATTGAATAGGATCCATCCATCAGTTACGACGTGAACGAGGGTGACGATGACCCATTGCCACGATACGAATTATCAGGTACGTTGTATCGCATAATATAGGATATTACACCTGTGTCATCAGTTTCGATAAACTTAAAACATTATCACCTGTAACATCGTTTTGAGCGATCGTTATCGTAACTAGAATTTTCATCCCCTCTGGACAAAGTTTATCGATAATGTCAATATTGCCATGATCAACTGCAAATGTTCCATTACTGTTATTTACACTGCTTCGTATTAGTACATTAATGGTACCATAAAACACTTGAAAAATTTAACGATTAATAGTGTATTCATTCCTGTTCACTGCGTCCAAAAAGCTTTCAGCCATCATAAATAAAATTCGCCCGATGGAACTATTATTTGCTAGTGGTTTTTTCACGCGTTGCAATTTGTTGAACGTCTCCAGGGACAAATGGACACGGCACTAGGTGTGCAGGGGAGATAGCGATGGAGGCAAACAACGGGAAATGCGGGGTAGGTGTCGCCTTCGAAGCTTCCGTCGGTGGAATCAAGCTGCTCGACGGTTTGGTAAACGATCGCGTCGAGGGAGAGGCACTCGGATACAAACCGGAACTGGTGGACATTTACACGGCCTCCTGGGGACCCGCCGACGATGGAAGAAGTTTAGAGGCGCCCGGTAGACTCGCCACCGAGGCTCTCGAAAGGGGTGTCACAATGGCGAGTAGAGAAATACGCGATTAAACCTTTGCAATTGGATATCCCGTTTAATTATCCCGGAGTTGGTGACAAACTCTGGATGCTTTAATATCGTGGGTCAGCTACGTCCAATTACCTGAGACGTTAATAACTTCATAGAGCGAACAGACCGTCCTGTACTGTCCTCGCAATATTTTCACCTTAAGAATTTTCTGAACGTCCCGGCAATAATAAGGATTCCTTCTCTTCCTAATTACTTCTCTCTCTCTGCGGGTTTCTCGCGAAACTTCTGCGGGATCGTGGTTAACTTTAAACGAGCAAAAAAGGCGGCGCGAAAAGTTTCCGGGAACTTTCGAAATCCTCGATGGTTCTGATAAAAATGAAACTTTCATGAAGAGCACAGGGTGTGAAAGGTTTGAGAACAAGCCTCGATACATATTTATAGTTGCGATACGCGTTTGTCAAGCTGGATATTACTTCTCGACCGCTTGATCACTTCTAACTTTTTTGTATAAAGATACTTGATACTTGACAGATAAAAGATATTTGATTCTCAGTTGTTGCTTATCGGTGGAGAATCGTTATTAGAACGAATAGATCCATAGATTTATTCCTGTATCAAATCCCTATATCCCCATATCCCAGACCCTACAATCATAAATGTCAATACTCTTAAACAGTATTAATATGGACCTCGCCCGCGTTATTTAGGGCAGAGACGGCAAGGGGAGCATTTACGTGTGGGCTTCCGGAAACGGTGGCTCAAAATCCGACGACTGCGGATGCGATGGCTACGTGGGAAGCGTTTACACGATCGCCGTTGGATCCGCCAGTCAAACTGGAAGATTTCCCTGGTACGGTGAAAGCTGTCCCGCTACGTTAGCGACAACGTACAGTAGCGGGGCTTATCACGATCAGATGATAGTACGTACTCCATTTTATTCCATTCGTGACAAACGAGGTGATACATCGAACGTACAATAGTATCGAATATACAAATATACATTTGACAAGAACAACCATATGTCAAACTCTTGATTTTGACACTTAGGGAAAATATGACGAGTATGATATGATATGACGAGTGCCTCTCAGATGTATCCAAGGGATTAATATATTACTCTTGAAAGTCCTTTAGCGATCGTTAATACGTTATTCAGTGAAAATTAATCGAACGGCTCGAGTGCAGCTTAAATCAATTTTAACCAATATTCATCGCCATTCCGGCTTTCAGAATGGGGCACAAAGCGTACAGAATAATATAATGGACTCCATTTCCGTCTTTACAGGCGACAACAGACTTGAGAAACACCTGCACGACCAAGCACACCGGCACTTCTGCGTCCGCTCCATTAGCTGCTGGAATACTGGCCCTAGCTTTGCAAGTTAAGTACGTGCTTGCTGCATAATTTTCTCTCTTATTTTCTTTTTCGAACTTCCATTCCTCTAACGCAATTTTAACGGGGAACGGATGATCGTGTTTTAAAGGATCGTCAAAGTTATCTTAGTTAACTTCTCAACGTGATCTTGACACTGAAAATAGAATTGTTGTCTTAAAGCAAGGATCTGACGTGGAGGGACGTGCAACATCTCATCGTTTGGACATCAGAATACAGTCCTCTTAGGTGAGATTATCTAATTTAGTTTATATATTGCTGTCTGTAAAGTTTTACTTAGTGTAATTTTCCATAGGAATATTCGTTGCTTTATCGCGATTAATTATTTATAAATGTAACTTTGGTACATGTAATATTAAAACATCAGGACGTAATTCCCTTCAATAACCGTTCATAAACAGAAATATAACGCAACTATTGATTTTGCAAAATATGGAATATCAAAGGGACTTCACAATCAAATACGTCAATAATTCACCCTCTTAATATGATGCATTTATTTATAATTGTATGTATATTCCAATTTTTCAAAATTTCAATCTCCTGAAGTCCCAATCTTCTGAAGTTCCCATCTCGCGATACCACAATCTCCAGTCATACTGTCTCAAAATACCAATCATCCAAAATCCCACCCAATCTTCTAAAGCTGCACAAACTACCCCTATCCCAAAATTCTCATCTCCCAAGGTCCTGACCTTCTAAACCCCCAACTTCCCAAAATTCAAATCTCCCAAAAATCATTCGCAACAAATAGAACTCTGAATGGCAAATACAATCAAGCGACCAATTAATAAAATTCCATTTGCGTATACGACGCGGTTCGTTAGAGCAGATAAAAAGCATTCTCGCGAGACAACGGGCGGCGTCGATCTCGCGTTCTTCCCGACACGAATCACGTCGGATTAAAATATCGCGTCATTCTTATTCGTTTCGCGACCGACGCGAAATGTAGGTCGTGCTGTTTCTACGGAAAACAGTAATTGAGGTAAAGCGGATAGGAAGTGGGGTCCGTTGCTTTCCCTGATTGAAATAATAGCCCAGTCGCGTTGCTTTTGCACGTGCCTGATCGACAGTCAGGGTCACGACGTGCTTGCACCTCTCTAAGAACGAGCTTTCTTCCTTTTAGTCTTTTCTACGGTCGTGCTCGATGAATTGTACTGTTCCTTTTCTCGCGATTTAATGGTTATGGATGGCACGACGGTTACGAACTTTTCCCCCGGTATTCAAATACGGCGTAAACATTTAGGCTTTCTGTAAAACGATACAAAACTTCTTTTATAAAAGAAAAAAGGGTGCACGTAGAAAGCTAATAAATCTGGCTCTCCAATCTAACACCGACGATTACACGGTGGTCTCGCGACGCAGATAAAGCGTACGATTCTTTGTTAATATCGCACAAATGAAGTGACTCGCGCTTTAAAATGATGTTCGTTAAATGAACTCGTGAATAATGCAGAAGGAAAATTAATTACGTTACATTTCCAGGATCTCCGAGACTACTTTAGCGATCCAGCGACCTGTTAAAACAGAAGTCCGATCTTTTAAACGAAGAAGGGTGTTAAATTAAACCCGTGTTTCGCAGTTTCAATAGCAAGATACATACACCTCCTGACGCGTAAAAAGGAATTACTTCGCATTTTACTGAGAACCGTTTCATTTTACGTTGGCCACTCTTTCTTTCACCCTGTTGAGTCCCGTAATTGCATGAACTTTCAGGGAGAATCCTGGATGGTTCAGAAACTCTGCCGGATTTTGGTTCAACTCACGTTTCGGCTTCGGACTTATGAACGCGTACACGTTGGTCACGGCAAGTTCCAATTGGACAACTGTGCCGCAGAAAATCATCTGCAAAGTGGACATTTCTGGGGTGTGAGTAATTCTACGATGAAATTTTATCTTCTCCCTTAATTCTCCTCCCTGTTCCAGTATTTTACACGGTGAGGAAAGCTTAACAAAGGATGTCTAAACCTAGGAACGTTTCGAAGTTGTCACGTCTAGCCAAATCTATTTAGTTAGAATTAAATAAACTGTTTAATAATATTTCGAACAAGTAACAATGCCCTTTTCCATCGACTTGTTTAAAGAGTCCTTTCCTTGATTTTCCATTGTAATTCCAAATGTTTGTTGAAACGAAAAATCGATTCGGCTTACCGAATGTAATATGTACGTTCGCTAATCGATAGTATTGTCGGTACTACACATGTAGGATTTGGCACTCATGGTCCATTTAAATTCCCACGGCTGTACGTGATTTCGTAGGGCGCTTTAAACGCTGCTAACATCGAATAGTCGAGCTCGTAAAAATAACGAATCCATGTTGCGAAACTGTTGGGTAGAATTGCAAGTTCAAGGAAAGCTCCTAGTTAAAACGCGCTTCTTGGGTCATAAAATACGGCAACACAGGTGCACATTCTGTTTCTCGCGATTAAAGTTCCAGATGAGCCTTCGTCTGTCCTTGATACTTGAAAAAGCGCAGCGACTTCACGTCGTTAAATCCAACATCTCTGAAAGAGGGCTTCACATGTTCGTTACCGAATCGCAAAGACGACAGTCGTAAAAGTGGAACGTCTCGAGGACTTTTCGTGCGTTTCTTGCTGTTGCTCGAAAGCTTATCCCCCTCCAGCACGATCTCTGCCTCGAACAAGACACATGTTGGCGTTTTCAATGATGCACGGAACTTTGCATTGAAATTTCCAAGCAACGTTTTCTTGCTTGGATAATACATTATTTAATCCGTACAATTCTTGTCCCGAGTAACATTGAACGTAACTTTGATATATTATTGACGACGATACCGCTGAATAATTAAAGATAAAAGCAGTATTTGGCTGCCAGAGTTATCTTCCCCAGCAACCGTGTAACGCAACTCTTGAAAAGTAAATACAGTTAGAAGGCTTCCGTTTCGAAGCTTCAACTTCCCTCTTTGCACTCTTGGCGAAACTTTAATCCAACCGTAGCCACACGACGTCTGCACGATATCAGCTTGCTATATCGTGGAATATTTAAGTCGTCGGAATCGATTTCAGAAACAGAACGCTTCTGCATTTTGACAGCGAACGTTTCGGAAACTTTCAACCGGTTTTATCGATCGGTGTTTGTATAATGGCGAGCGTGATAGGTTTCCCTCGGGAAAGTGGTCATCCGAAAATTAACTACGAACCCTTTTAAATTTTTATGCATTTTAATCCATTGCTTTAGAAAATCCAAAACTCCGAAATCCTCAAGTACGAAGTATTTATACATCTTTCTAAAGTTGGATTAAAGGACATGCTCGTTCAAAAAAGTTCTTTGATTCAGAGTCGACAAGAGGTTGGCTTACGGAGATACGAGGAGGCTGCGATTCGAGACAGAAGACGAGTGTCGATCGACTGGGAACGAGATAACGTTTTTAGAACACGTAGAAATCGAGGTCAACCTCGAGTACAGTCTTCGCGGTGCTCTTCAGATGCACCTGACTGCACCCTCAGGTATGCGCTTGACGTTTGTGTCAGTAAACATTTCAAGGTCGTTTCGTCGTTTAACAAACTCACCCAACCCGCAACGAAACGAGAAAATATTTCGGAAAACTTTTAACGCCATCAGCATTCATTTCGTGGTACGATGATATTTCGGACAAGCTTAAGTAATATATTGCATATGCGGCAACGTACAAAAAGTGTAAATTATATAAAAATGTATGACAACAACACCGTATATAATTATAATTGCATCGTCATAATTAGCTTACACGAAAGCTTAACATTTCGGCAAAGAGTTTCACGGTTCAAATGTTAGGTGAAACACTTTTATGCGCCACGAAGCTGCATTTCACTGCACTTTGAGATATCTGTTTCGCTCGGCCGCGCATTTATCGCCGTTTCGAACGGATTTTATAGCATCAAATGTGGTACATAGACGAAACGTTCGAGCAAAACGTCTTGGAAATAAGATTTTTACAGTGTTCACGAGCGAGATGTACGACATCTATCAAGATCGATGTCGTGAATTCCCAGGCGAGAGAACAGTCAATCCTCGAGATTTATGGTCGTGAAACACCGAGTTAACACAGGTGTTAAGAGAGACTTTTATATCAAACTTTTAATTCCGAATCCACGTGGAACTTCGTGCGTTACGACGAGTGCCCGCGAGAAAATCCGCGTGTAGGTGGCAATACAAGAGTATAATACAATTGAGCTAATTCAAATCCGAGCGAGAGAGATCATCGTGTCCCAACTGTTCCATTCCGACCACGGATTTCTGTTATATTAATAATCGGTGTTGCGTGCGTAAATACATCGGGGAATATTCGTAAAATAACGAAGGCCGATGAGACGCGAATTCGGTCAACCGAAAACAACTGCAAATGATACGAACACTCGAATGATATTCGTTTCGATAAAATAATTGTTTTGACAATCTTCGATTCGAACAATCTTATAATTGCTTAGGGCAGCGATGAACAGATGGAGCGTATGCGAATGTTCATGCAAAGCAGGGTAACAATTTATCGTGTCATTAATCGGTTGAAAAAATATGTTCTTTATTCAGCATTTTTGCATAACGAATGACATGCAACGTATTTTGCACAAATTGCATTGCATATACATATTGTTTCCATACTTCATGTATATTCATCTTGAGAGATGATCGCGCTCGAAATCAGGCCGTCGAACGCATCGAAAAATAAGTTATTAACAGTCGTGTTGATTTGTCGAGCTACGCTATTGTTTATTGATCGACGGTAAATTTTGAAGGAACACAGGTGCAAATATTGAAACCCAGAACACTGGACAGCTCGGATGCCGGTTTTAAGGGATGGAAATTCATGTCGGTGGCATCGTGGGGCGAGGATCCGCGCGGTGTTTGGACTCTAGATATTCTGGACCAGGTGATTGTTTATAACAAATGTTTGCTGTTAATATTACTTTTTTCCGCCCGTCGAACGTCGAACGAATCAATCTCTACTGACCCGATTTCGTGAATTCTTGTTCAACAGATCGGTCCAAAAGAGAATAATGGCACAATAGAAGCGTTTGCGTTGATTCTACACGGGACAAGGGAACCTCCAGAGTATCGTAGAAACGGGCCACGAATTTACAACCGAAACTACAATCGAATCCGAAAAACCGTGAGTGAATACGATCAATTTTCTCCTCCCTGTTTTTATACAATACATGCACAGATTGCGAAGTTTCCTGTCCATTTAAAATTTTCACAAAAAGACGAAGATGGACATCTATTTTGTTACAGAACGACTTTGCAGATCGTCCAATAAAATTCGAAGAGGAACACAAGAAGCTGGGCTCAGGAATCGAAGAGGCAATCGATCGATTCGAAAAAGATTGGCTGGATAAATTTGTAGCACAAATTATTTAAAAACGTGTGGAAATAAATTCTGATGTAGTCTACTGTACTTTGTATATTTCCTTCAAAGGTACTTCGCAGAATTAGTATTATGCTATAAGGTGAAAATTTGAGAGCAAACTTTGTTGTTTGCACGCTGGAGAGAAAGTGTAAAAGGTGTTAATTATCGCGTTTCTCCGGGAGAATTTTCAAAAGAAAAACTCGAACGTCGCTTTCTGTAGAATAACACGGGACGATTACCAACCCAAGTGTTTCGCTATTATAACTTGAACAACATTTTAGAGCACTGGTTCCCATTATTCTCGCAGAGCGAGCCGAGCACCTGCAGCGTTTGCGGTGACTCGGGATCTTGCAATGTGTAACAAACAAAGACGAAACTCGAGGAAGCGTTCCCAACAACAGAAGGTGCTTCATGGTAGATCAAGATTTGTGTAATTTGAGATCCTTCAGCGAGCTTTCTACGTTTATGACGAGATTATCGTGCTTCGAATACTTGTCCAAACTCGGTGCATCTACGAATTTACTTAATTGCAGTGGCATCGGTTTAAAATACAAATACACCAATCTAATAATTTTAAGACATATGGTGGCAGGAACTGTAAGTAGGACGATGAACAAAAATATACGTCAGCGACCTTTAAGGTGGATTCTTAGTATAAAGATCAATGCGAGTAAAAATTTCTCGAGCAAGTACTAAAGTTTCAAAGCCCCGGGTTATAAAGTTATAAAGCTAGACATTTACAAAGTTGCAAAGTAGCAAAATAAAGTTTGAAATTCGCAAAATCTTACTGTCTCATAGTCCCGTCCCAAGAGTTCGAACTTTTTAATTTTAAGACCAGAACTCTCAAAATCCCATCGTTACCTCGTGGTTTCAAAATAATACCTTGGAATCGTAAAGGTTCACGGTTCCAGAATCCCAAATCTTCACCTGCAGCGAAACAATGGCAGAAACTCGCTTCTAATTCGACATTCAACTGTTTCCCCGATTCGACATTCCACGAACAAGAGATCATCTCCGCGATTTTACCTGGAAAATGAGGAAGAGATATTTAAGACGATTACCGCGGAACACATTTTAAATAGAACGTGACCGAGTTCTAATATTCCTCGCATCTCGGAAATGCAATTAAGCTTGCATAAAATTCTTACTCATAAGAAACACTTCTTCCTTTCGTCCACAATGTCGCGAATATCGAATGTAATTTAAGAGAAAAGTTAATCTTCCCGTTTAATAATATCGGATGGTCCACGAAGGAAGGACATCGTTAATATTGTGAAAGTTAAAGGAGAAATATTCGAGCGAATTGGAGGGGCTAACAAAAGGTTAATGACCCGATATCGTCATGATCTCGCGAATGATTTTCCGGTCACGCGTTACAGCGATAAATCATTCGCGTTTTTGTAGAAAAATGCAACTTCACCGAGTTCGCGCGAATATTCCGCGGTAATACATAACCTGAAAACGTTCGCTGTAAAATATGGTGAAAGCTATTAGCGTGACTCGGCTGCTATTGCAACCCTTAAGAGGTCTAGATGAAATTCTCGCGTAGCGACTCGCCGAAACGGCCAAGAATTTCATGTTCTCGGGCGCGAAATGTTCCACCAATTTTTTTGTCCGTTTCGAAAATATTAAACCCGGTTTCGTGTCAGCCGAAAATCTTGTTCAAGATCGAGTATATCCAAGATGCAAGGTTCACGCGATACAAATTTAATTTCAACCTGGAAGATGAACGGTGACGCGTTGCGTGTTGCTATTTCACGATTTACTTACGTTATCTGAATTCGCGTCGATGGAGAGGGAAATCAATTGGCGCAGGAAATGCAACGCGAAAGATTTAATTAAAACGCGAATTAATTCAACCTCGACGCGGAATGTGCTCGCAATCGTTAAAGATTGCTTTGTCGACTGACATTTTAGCGTGAACTAATTATACGAATGACGAAGAATCGTAACGGTTTGATAAATTAACCGAAAAGTTTTTGATAGATGACGCTCAGTGACGAAGATCGAGATTGAACTTGGATTACTTACAGTTTGTCTTCTCTAATTGTTTCCGACGAGAACTGTTTTATCTTTGAATTGATTCGGCATCCTTCGACAAATATTGATTTATGGCGAAACTGAGCAAACAATTAAGGATTCAATTGAACCGTGAAATTCACCAAATTTTTTCCCACCGGCATTGATGCATAAACTCACAGATTCCGAATGAATAATGAACGAAAACTGTCATCCTTCGTACTGATTTTATCTTAGCAGAAATAAATCGTCTAAATCCATTTGCGCACTACATTCGATGTAATGGTAATTCATTGATCGCGCGATAAAAATGTCAGCGCGAATCACATTAATTAACTTTCGTATCTTCAACGTTCTCGCGAAGCAAAAGTTCCAACTTTCTTCATTCGATTAAACCTCGATTAGGGTAATTGAAACTTCTGTACTACTTGTTGGAAAGAGTTACACGGATTTCAAGTAGAATGTGGTTTGGAATATATTATAAAACTATATTTTTAGTTCTTCAAATTCGTAGATAACTATGAATCTGTATTTTCTGGATCTCTGTATTCAGGATCCGAGTATGATGGGTGTCCTAGATTCCTATGTCCTAAATCCCCGTATCCTAGCTCCTAGTATCCTACATTTACGTCCTAAATTTCGGCAACCCAGACTTCTGTATTCTAGATCCCAGTATCCTAGATCCTTCTATCCTGAATCGCGATATCCTAGATCCTTGATAGCGTAGATCATTGGTGCCGCATAATACCAGTATTAGAAACCTGTACCTTGCGTAACAACGCAACAAATTTACGATTTGAGCACTATTTGTTCCCCGATAAGTTGCAAGAAAAGCAAAAGAATGAAAATGGATTTAAATCGGACTTTAAAATTAACTGAATGTGGGAGCTTGTCATAGTCATTGAATCCACCACGTAGCTGCGCTGCCGTCGACCTAATAATGGGGTGAGTGTGGAGGGTGAAACGGGGATGATTCTGGCAGTAGCATGCCGCCCATCGTGCCGTAAACATCGTGCAACTCTTTCCAGACGAAAGGTGTTTTCCTTTCATTCTTCGTCCGATTTGGAGCAACCACAACAACCCCTGCACCCAGTAAGCAACCTTGACAACCACCTATTCCGCGCAAATCCGTGAGTATACTTTCTATATCCATCTCGAGCGAGTTGCGGAAAGTTACTGGAAAACATTTGCGCGAGAAGATTGCACGAAACGCACGAGGGGTGTTAATTACACGCGGGTTCTCTATTCACGGTAATTAAACAGTGACAAAGGGCGTGACGATAAAGCTCTATTTGCAATCGGCTTGCTTTCTGCTCGTCTCGAATTCTGCTAATTAACCAAATAGCACACCGTTCGCTTAGCACAGCTGACCTGTTAGTGACCTTACAATCCCCACGAGGTATGCGAATTTGCTTTTTCGAATTTCCACGCGATACCGCCACGCACTTGCTCCATTTTGCGTGGCTTGATCGCGCTACAATATCTCGTGTACCTTTGCGTGCTCAGGCGAAAGTTCGATGAACAAACAACCCCTCGTGTTTCGCAGACGAACGGTATTAACTTCTGCTGCTTGCTGCTAAAATTATTTCGAATTCAACTACTTTGTGGCTGATAGGCATTAGCTGCAAACACCGAAGTATAGTTCGCGTTTTATGTTCGGTTTAAGAAAAGGCTTAAACCGAAAGTAATTCATAAAAGGATGAATTACGGGACTCGAGGGAGATTTTAAAGTATCGCTTTCGTTTCGCAGCAAATTTAACTCTTTTATGGATTATTCGGCGAGAGCAATTGCAGCTAGAATTTCATGTTGCATTCGACCCTTTTGTGGATTATACGATTGGTAAAAATATGATTGTAGACTACTTTTTAATTCAATCGACGCGTAAATGTCTGTTTATCTTCTCTCGAGTTATACGGGTGATTCCATCTGCAAAAATTGTAAATGAATTTTAACGTTTGCTGATATAATTGTTTAAATATTGATACATTCAACGAAACAGGAGAAAAACCATCTATAAAATTAAATGTAGAACGCTGGTTCGTTTTATGAATTCAAAAGCAAACACCCTGTTGAAATTTTGGTCCTAATCTTCTTAAGTCCGTACATATTATATGGGAATAAAATGAAACGCGATAGCTATTGCATATTTGTGTAGGGTAGACGTTCGCAACAACAGTTCACGAAATTGAGCAAACACTTTTTGCGTAACTGTTTGAGCACGACGTGTTCTAACAGCACAAATTTCGAGCTTTTCTTCGCGGTAGTATTGTTAACGAAGCAAAGTTCCGGGAAAAGAGAAAATCACGAGGCGTCCATTGTATCCGTTGACAAACACGCTCTAATTTATAACAATGCATCCACGGAAACTTCTCTAAAAATCTTCGAAAGCACGACAGAAAAGAAGTAAGGAAGAAGAAAAGAAGTGCATCAAAGAGTACAAGCTGTTCGTACAAAGTTTCTTCGGAGCAATATCATTCTTTTGTTTTCCTTTCCTTCTCGCTCGGGCTGGAAAGAGCAAATTTTTACCCGCGTTGCCTCGTGATTTTTCAACTAACAAAGACGAAGTGTTCCGCGTGCACGATAAACTTTACCTTCCACTCGAAGGGGGTAGAAAAAATCGTTACACCAACGTCCGATCATTGCGTGACTGCTCTCCTGAACCCTGTTTTTCTCCTGTTTGTTCGTTCAAGCCGCGGGAATTAACGATGCACGGCGACGCATCGTCCGATAACTTTGTCGCGACGTAATCTCTCTGTTGAAAACGATAGCAAACATTTCTAATTACGCGTATCCTTTCCGCGTATTCATAAGCCTCGCTTTTGCGCTGAAAGAAAATTTCATAATGTTTGGAGGGGCGGTCGGTGATGAAAAAACAGAAAGAAAGTAGCGGACAGGGTGCAATTAAGCTTCAAAAGGGTTGAATGCAACGGTAATTCTTTCGCGGACGCTTCGCCGGTGCGTTTAATTCGTTTTTTGCAAAACGAACCGCGAGCAGTTTCAATACGTTTGCTGGCATCGGGGTCACGGGTCACCGCAAATTCGATATAATGATATTTCATTATTTCCTCAGAGGGAAAAGATTTTCAAATATCATTAATATTCGCCATAGTCGAAACGTGATAACTGGCAAATTTTATCATATTCTTTGCAACAGTTATTTGACCCTCTCACTTTAAATGCCCTTAAAAAGCTTTCGGTTCTAAAATCCAACTCGTGCACATATTTTTTTAGTTTTACACTCGTCGCTTAAAAGGGATCGTTTTAATGTCCTGCAGAGTTCCAGCAACTGGTTGTTAAATATTTAGACAAGTACATTATACGTCCTTACCGTGAACGGAACGTTCATTTAACCAATAAAGGCTGTGGAAGGTTAATTTATATAAATGTCTCCATGGTAACCGTGTGTAAGAAGGATAAATCGAGGTAAAAATGTTCGGAGATTTAGAGTAGCAGTTTTCGCAAGAACATTTGTTGAAAAGAAGTATAGAAATAGGTTTCCGATTGTTCACATTGGCTCTCATCGGAACGATAAATTGTAAACTAGAAATCGACTTGGCATTTCATTTAATGACCCTCAAGGAATGGACAAAGAGAAAGTATCAGGAAAAGATTGCAACGCCTCGAGACAATGTTCTGTTTCCCATTTCCCGAGTACGGGGAAAGAACACCATCTTCGTGAATCGTTTACCGTAAAATAGCCGACACGCGTTGTAAACGACAGAAACATTTCCCGGTAACGACAATGCGCGTCCAATTTCACACTATTCTTTCTCGCTTTAGGAAACAATATTGAAATATTGCGCACAAAAACAATACGCTTGTTCCCTGATTTTCCTCTCTGCGCACAATGTCATAGCGTAACAATTCAATTACCGCTACAGTATTTCGTTTTCGGTGAAAGAAGGAATATAAAATTATTCATTGCAACGACGATGAAAATTGCTTCGGGATCGAATCATTTACTCCAACGTTTCAACCGAATAAACGACGGAAAACGAATGACGCGATTGACGTTTTCTTCCCGTTTCAACGATCACTATACGGCTGGCAGCGGAAAAAGGAAAATAAGCTTGAAAAATGGAAGTTCCGTGCGTTCTTTGGATGTTTTGTTCAACGCGTATATTGCTTGATTCGTGAACCGAGTGCATCGACGGCTTTCCGGTGAGTTATAGCCCAAAAAACGGAATTCCGCGATCTGGGTTAATAGCTGCCTCGTTCATGGAATCGAGTTGCTTCGACTGTTAACGCGTTATTAATTTATCTTATTACACCCCGTACATGCATTTCGTCGTAATTACGTGTTCTGTATTACCACGTATTGTACTTTCACGCTTTGTACTTACATGCATCGTAATTTCACGCCTCGTATTACCACGCTTCATACTTCCACGCGTCGTAATTCCACGCCCCATATTACCACGCATTGCACTTTCACGCTTTGTATTTCCACGCGTCGTAATTCCACGCTCCGTATTACCACGCATTGTATTTTCACGCGTCGTAATTCCACGTCTCGTATTACCACGCTTCGTACTTCCACGCATCGTAATTCCACGCCCCATATTACCACGTATTGCACTTCCACGCGTCGTAATTCCACGCCCCATATTACCACGCATTGCACTTTCACGCTTTGTACTTCCACGCGTCGTATTACCACGCATTGTACTTCCACGCTTCGTATTTCCACGCGTCGTAATTCCACGCCCCGTATTACCACGCATTGCACTTTCACGCGTCATAATTCCACGTCCCGTATTACCACGCATTGTACTTTCACGCTTTGTACTTCCACGCGTCATAATTAACACGCATTGTACTTTTACATTTCGTACTTCCCCGCGTCGTATATCCACGTGCCTTACTTTCACCCGTCGTATTTACACGCAGTATACTTCCACGCGTCGTACTTCCCCGTGCCTTACTCCCACGCATCGTAGTTACACGCAGTACACTTCCACCCATTATACTTTTACGCGCTGTTACTATGCTCTGTATTTTCACACACCACATCCATGCTCGCTATACTCCCACATATCGTCTTTCCACGCGTTATATCTCCAAACAGAATATTTCTTTCCGTACATGACGTCCGTATTAGAGTGTGGTCCCAGCGTGTAAGCGGATCGTATCGCCGATATTGAAAGGTTCGATCGATAATCGAAGTAGGTGACATTTTTGTATCCGCAAATATACGGTTGCAGCGATATTCGAGTAGCCAGAATACGTGTAGCTTCTCCCCAAGTGTTGTTCGGATGCTTGAATTATTGGCATAGTCGCGCAAACTGTTGGCAAACTCTGTCCCTGTAGAGAAACTGCTTAACGCATCGTAATTGATCGTATAATTGATCGGGATATATCGATGGGTAAAACTGGTCAGGTTAATGTAAGCGTTACGTTTAACGAAGCCGATAGGCGAACAACTTGCGAGATAAAAATGGGAATATATTTCACGGGCAACGTTGAAAGGGCCCCGTAACGAAAATCGAATCTTTTCTTTCGTCCACAATGCGCCATTGTGCTAGGCTGATGGGAAAATAGCGAATTCGGGCGAGAAATACCAATTTCTAACGAAAGTGTTTGATATCACCGTGCCGAAGGTAACGAATTAATTAAGGATTAAATTCACGAGGTCAACGAGCTACACTTTTCATCGTAAGCTGACAAACTGTTAACGGGAACAGCTGGAACATTGTCCTCCATTTGATGAAAAATCCAATGAATTAACGTCTAGAGGAGGGCGTCGTTTATTTTTTGCACGTACTACCTCTTAGTGACTTTGACGAAGCACATCCACCTCGTTATTTTCGATTTCAAAGCTGTCCGACGCGCTCTTCATAATCGATTTTATTTTTATAACGTGTATTTTATCTCGTACTATCATCGACCAGTTAACAACGGACTAATTATCTATTCCCCTATGCTGATCTTGAAGATACGAATCTAAGCCGTTATATACGTTATCGAAGCATACCGAATACAAGCATTTTCACTGTAATCAAGCAACTTGTTCGATCGAGAATTTCCGTTTGAAAAAACGGAAAAAAATTGCTCGCGGATACCAGCAGCGGAATATCAGAAAACACAGCTGGAAAAACGTAGCAGAAATTGGAAAGAATACATAGGAAA